AAGAGTTGTACGAATTATAAAGATTCAATTAATGTGTCATAAACTTCTTTAAACTATGGGAGCGAGCTCAATGGAGCATCAGTCGGGCGTGATATACTAAAATAACCAAGGTTGTATAAAAATAATTTTGGATTATGCCGGTAGGTCGCACTTCAGAAGCCATACATATTATTAAAATATAGTAAGAGATATTTTTGATAGAAGAATATAGGAATTTGGATCAGAGTAGAAATATACACAAGAGGAAATCTACATATGATATATATAATTTAGATTTACGAAAATAGGCATAATGTGGATAAAGTAAAGTAAGTGCTAATGGAAGAGTTTTTACTATAGAGGACAAAGATGTTACTATTAGAGCTTTTATATTTAAGTTTCAAATCTCACTAAATCATTGGGATTTCCTGAGGTTAGAATGTACTTTAACTAGTATATTGGGCTTTTTGGGTAGAGCAGGTTACTATTGATTACGAATGGGACACAGGTGGTGTGTACACCAAAGTATTTTCTTATATTTTTTAGGGTTAGGTAGTAATTTGAAACTTTCATTCAGAGAGATAATCCGCCTCATTGTGGTTGGGAATCCTATATTTTTTAATATGCTTTTAAGTAGGCATTGGATTGTTTCTACATAAGCAACTTTAATACAATATGGAAGAATAACTCTATAGCAGAATTAGTATTTTTTATATTATTTTTATAGCATAAGGTTATGTATTAGATAATAATTTTAAATACTTATTGTATGAATTTAGACATGAGAGGGGAGTTGACAAGTTAACTTGAATTATGGAGGTAAACTTAGAGACTAAAGATTTTCGCTTGCGTATATCTAAAAGCCGAATATATGGAGTGTAATTTTTAGTAGTCATAGACTAGTGAGGGGTTGTGACTTGGGCGATCAGTCATTATACGTACACGTTTAGATATCTTCGGATCTATTGTTAGAGTGAATGGTGAATATAGATGGGGATTTATCAACAGAATTCATGTTGGATTGGTTGAAGTGGGGATGCTCGGGCTTGTTGTGTGATAGAAAAGCACCCCTCAAACTTAAGAGAAAATTCTATAAGATGTAGTGAGGCTGCAATGCCTTATGGTGTGTTAATGTGGCATTTAAAGAGAAGCATAATAATTAAGTAGTGTGGCAGAGATGAGGATGCTCAAGTGGATGAGTGGCTTTACCTTCGAGATATGATACCGATGAGCATATATGTAAAAGGTGGAGTAGCTCCAATAGAAGATAAGAATTAGAGAGAGTCGCTTAGATGGTTTTGGTCAATAAAACGGCGGCTTGCAATGACAGCCGGTTAGGAGAGTAGAGGTATTAGATTTGACTTAGCTAAGAAGGTAGAGGCAAGCTAAAAGCCTGGTTGATAAAATATCTAAGAAGACCATTTTTTATTAGATTTAAACGAGAATTTGGCTTTATAGGCACAATGAGAAATGATTATGTAGCGCAACCCACGTAGTGGGAATAAAGGCTTGATGTTTGTTGTTGTTGTATATTTTGGAGGCTAAGAATAAGGCAAATCCAGGTTATTATTTTAAGGATTTAGGTGCTTACAAACCTCATAAATTTTTTATTCTCTCCGATATAAATAGAGCTCATGTATACTTATTACAAAAGTTAATCAAAGTTAATACTTAGCATATATATTTCTCTCAACTATTCCTGAAGGCCTCCTATTCGGACAGGCCTCCTTCTCTTTCTAAGTAGTAGACACCTCCTCTCTATTTACTATTTGTTAAGTGCGACAAGCAACAAACAAAACATAAGTTTTTATCCACAAACGTTGGGCTCGGTGTTTGACCTCGTTTTTGTCTTGATTAGCCTGGCGCATTGATTGATTGATTGGGTTTTCATTGGATTTATTTAATTTGAATAGGCATTTTTATTCAAGTTTGATTTCTATTTTATTCCATTCTATTGTATTAATTTTTGGTCGAGTCGAGGTGGAGTTCGAGTCGACTCGATCAAACAAACCCTATGCAATTTGAACTTGGATTTTGGTCTTGGGTTTTAGCTAATCCTAATAAAGAAAAAAAAACTTAATCACTTTCCAACAATTATGATTCCCATGTTGGAATCGGACGGCTCGGATTTCCACTTTTTTTCCTCTCGTGCTAACTAAGGCGAGTTCTATAATCGCGCCTTCCTCTAGTTGATAGATCCAGAGAAGCCAAGGGATGGATGGGCTTCTCCTCTCATATCTCTCACTTCCTCTCTCCGAGACAAGGTCCGGCTTCCTGCTACATCGCGCTCTAGCAACCGAGCCTAGAAGTTTTAATCCTCACCTTGGTCGTCCCCTCTGGTTTCACCCGGACATCCTTCTCAGGCCGGATTGCTCTCTGGATCAGGAATCCGAGCCGAAGCTTTTTGCGCCTATGCAATCACGGCTTCTCTCTCTCTCGCCGACAATGGGCGACTGCAACGCAGCCGCCAACGGGGAGAGGACCTCATCTTAGTCTTGGAGCTGCTAGGGTCGGCAAACTTTCCTCCTCACGATTCCTTCAGCCCTCTACATTCTCTACATTCAAGGTTCTAGATGTCTACTGAGAATGTCTCAGGGTCGTGATTCACCTCCAAGCTGCTCTATCCCTTCTCTAACCGTCAAGCCGAAAACAAAACAAAAGAGAAGAAGCGGAGCTTCCGTCTTGGCCAAGGAGATAACGGAAGTTGGGTGCTCATTAAAATTTGAAGTTTTATAGGACAGAAAAGCTTTCTGTTCTATTCTTTCGGAGAGAAAGGAGTAGTTGCTGGTTGCTTTCTCCAATCACACAACTCAAGGCTCATCCATTCTTTTCTCCAAGCTCGAGAAAGAAAGAGACTAGCTAGCCGACCATATAAAGCAGGATATCCCTTTCTTGATATTTTTCAGGATCAAAACATGATAATTGCTGCAGTTGTTCAGACTAACCTAGGAGATTTGTACATTTTTTCGGCATCAAAGCATGAAGATTTGCTATAGTTTGGAAACAAAAAAGAGTGATTTTATAACAAATTTAGCAAGCAGAGAAGTTGAGTTTCCTTCATTCTTTTAGTGAATTTCGTTTTATTATTATCAATTTTTTTTTAACGTCTTATTCAATTTTCTTTTTCCTTTTCTTTTATATATAAAATCTAAAAAAAATGAAGGCTTATCTCAATTTACTGATATTATGTAGATATCGCTATTGCTTCTATCATCTTATTGCTTCATTTGTTACTTATTTCATAAAGCTTTGATTAATTGACAGTTTATCCATAAGACGATTTATTCGCTTGTTTTAACTAATGTAGATGTGAGAAGTTGTTTTATATAATTTATATA